GTGGCAGGAAGGAAACACAAGTGTGCAAGGTTTCTGCAGTGCTCCCTTTAATTCTTTGGCTTTGACACAGCCAGATCTAGGTCTTTGATCCTGAAGTGCTGCAAAGGGCAGGAACAGCAGTTCCTTCATCACAGGCATTGATGCTTGGTACAGCTGTCTCCTGCAAGGGTCAGCTCAGTCTTCTCTAGAGACATGGAAGGAGGCAGAGCCGGCCCTTCTCCGAAGAAGGGCCCTCCTTGGAGGTGTGCAGCGAGGTTTCATTGATGCCCAGCCCTCGGAGCAATCCCTGCCTACTTTAGTGGCTTGTGCAGGAAAAGAAGCATCTCTCCCAAGCTGAGATTCTGAGCTATACAGTCGGCAGCTCCACTGCTGGCTGGTGTGCCTGGGAGGGGGCAAGCTTTTCCCTCGCCATTGTGACTTGTCTGTAAGGCTGGAAACCTCTCCAGAGATAAATTGGAAGTTGTTGCTGGCATTTCTACTGAGAATGTCAACAGGAATGTGTCAGTGCCAGTCATGATGATACAAACACAGTTTCCCATTTAAAGCACTGCACCAAGTGTACCTAATTAACCTTCATGACAGCCCAGCAATACAAGGAAATAGGGATCATTAACTTCAGCATCGCTTTACAGAAGGGGAAGAGAAGCAGCAGTGCCAACCCCATGCGTTTCAAATTGAGGTAGGCTCAGAAAATCGCAAGGTTAAAAATAACAATAATCCATTTGGGATTCTCAGAGCTTTAGGAGTGCACTTGAACCAAACTCCAGCTTTTTCTCCAAGAAACATTAGGACTGGAAAGTTCTCTCCCATGCACACTTTGGTGTGACTCAACAGCTAAGGCTTTTAGAAAATCACGCATTCTCAATTGCAGTGGTGCAGAGGCATTAAATGAGAGAATGATTTACTCAGAGTTGCTTAAAATTTAGTGGCGAAGCTGAGACTGGGTTGTGTGAGTCACTGACCCTCCACCCCTTGCTTATTCCTCCAGACCAGACATTTCTCCAGGTAGAGGAACCCGTCTCAGTGCACCAGCTGCCATCACAGGGTCACTTAATGGCTGCCAGAGGCATCATTCAGGCAGGAGCTGGGATCTCATCCCGTCTCATCTCTGTGGAGGGACAGATTGGAGCCAGGCAGTGTTTGCATTTTGGTCTTTGAGCCAGCCCGGCTCCTTTGCCTTGGGCTCAGCTGGGACGAATGTGTCCTATGGATGGAGAGCTATGCATGCTGCTCCCTCACCTCACCTTCCTGTTCAGAAGAGGCTGCTTGTATGAGTCGATTAGAAAGAACAACTAGTACTAATCTCACCTGGCCGGGACCCGATGAGGAAGTGCTGTTCTGTATGGTACGCAGCAGTGGGACCCCAGCTCTGCACTGACAGCTTGGGGACAGCGAGGCTATGGGCAGGAGCAGCATGCTGTGTGGGGTACCGACCTCAGCATGGAGAGTCAGTGTCTGTACAGCGCTGTGCTTCACTCTTCTCTTTTCCTCCTCCTTTTTGTGTTCTGAGCTGACGTGGGGCGAGGCGAAGCTGAAGGGACCCTCAAAAAAGGCAGGTCATTGATGGAAGAGAAAAGAGCTTGACAGATGGTGAAGAGCTTTTATGAGCAGCATGGGCTGCAGCCGGCTCCAGGGAACAGAGTTGTTCCCGTGCTCTGGCTGTGTGTCTGTCTCTCTGATTATTTTGTGTATTTCATCTCTGCTGCCTGTCTTGCCCTTAATCTGGGCTCCTCTGTGCCAACAAAATGCTTAGCTCACTCCATTGTCTGAGAGGCTAATTTGCACTGTAAATCCGATGCTTATCTTACATGACAGCTTACTATGGGGTTTATTGCAGTCCAGAAGACAAACTAACCAGGGCTGGCTGGAGAGCTCTTGACACATCCTCTGGAGTACAGTACAAATACGACTTGTTTCAGCACGCTGCCACGATAGGATGTGTCCCCTTGCATTTTGAGGCCGTAAGGGATTTCTCTTTTTCTTTTCAAATATACCCAAATTTGAGTTGTTGTTTTTTTTTTTTGTGTTACTATTAATGTTTTTGGTGGTACAGCATCTTGTCTGTGTTGGAGCCCTGGGAATGCTTCTGGAACAGCCTCTCACCCTCCTAGGGCCAGGTCCTTCGTCCCTCCTCCCTGCTGTCTGTGGAGTGTAAGGACCGTGAGTGTGGCTGCAGAGCAGGTGCAGGCACCGTTCAAGCACTGATGCTCCAGGATGCTGCAGCTTTGTTGACTCTGCCTAGCTTAATCAGAAAGAACCTTTGTCCTTGTCTCTCTTCATTAGTATTTCCTGACACTTTCTCCAATATGTTGTAGCTCTTTGCTGGCAGAGTAGCATCCCCCCTCAATCTCATCTGCAGTTGCCTCCTCCCCTCTGGTCCCTGGGCTGTCTACCTGCAGGCAAGCACACAGCACCTAAGTGATGTTCACAGTGGTGTCGGTCAGTGAGCTGGGCAGTGGTCCCAGAAATACGTGGGAGGGCTAAAACCTCAGACAGAGAGGTTCCAGGTAGCCTCGGACATAAGTTTACCCAGGCGAAGCCAGGGAGATTATTGCTGCATTGATACAGCACTTGGTTCTGCAGCTGAACACGCTGCTTAATGCCCAGAGCTTCTGCATTGCAGTCCTCTGAGGGACACACAGGATCCTGCTTCCATGGCCAGCAGGAACACGGGGACCCTGTGGTTCCATCCCGCCCATGATGGCACACCCATCCTTCTGGGTGCTGTCCTGCCCTTGGGCTGAAGACAAAAAACAAAAGATGCCTGCCTTACTGGCTAAGCCGTGTGCAATGGCTGGGCAGCTGGCAGCTGAGCTGGAGATGGAGCCAGAAGGTCTCAGCAGCAATGAGGGAAAGTAAAAAAGGACTTAGAAACTGCTGAGGAAAAGCCAGGCAATGTATTGTATACCCAGAAGAAAAGTAGCTGCTTAGGGTTATATCAGAAAGTCTGCACTGGCCCTTCTCAAGCTCCATTTTGCTGCCTAGATGATCAGACTAGTGTGTAATCTACAGCTTATTCCAAGTCACCAGAGCTGGCAAACCCAGGCTGCTCGCAGGCACTGTCCTGAACCTACCCGAGGGATGGCTGCTCCACAGCCCACCAGAGCTCAGGGAAACATATGGCTCTGAGCAAAGACCCCCAGAGCTGAAGAGTTTTTAGGACACAAAAATAACTGGGAAAGGATTATCACAGCACCTAGTTCATGCTTGTGCCTAATCTAAATCTCTTCCCTGACTATAAATAAATTTCCTAGCTTAAACCCTATGTTAAGCACCTAAAAGTTAGCCACTAGAGTCTGAAGGCATCTGGAATTGTTTCCCCAGAGCATCCCCTTCCCACAGAGGGCCTGCTGCAGTCTGGGAGTGCCTGCTGGGACCACTGCTGGTGGTGCACAGCAGCTCCATCCATTTGGCAAGGTCGGGCTGTCCCCTCGGCTGTCTGCATCCAGCACTCCAGGGCAGGCAGTGCTTCCAAGGATAAAATCTATGCCCTGCTGTTTGCTGTCTGGTTGGCTTGTTTGAAAAAAAAAGAAAAAAAAAGGAGAAAAAGAAAAAGGCTTGTTTTCCAGCAGTACTTAGAGATCCTACAGTGTTTGTGTCATGTGGACGGTGGGAAGACAGTCTCTGCTCCAACAAATTCACAGTATTGCTGGGCAGAAGTACACTGAATAGCAGATGTGGTAGGGATGCAGGGTGAAAGAAGATGCTAACAGTAAAAGGAAGGCGTTTGCTCAGACTGAGTAAGTCTGACATCTCCACCAAGAAGGGCAGCAGCGCGCTGAGGCCCCACACCTCAGAGAGCTACTCGCTGGCATTCCAGCCTTCACAGGGCCTTTGCTTGCTAGTAAAGGAAATACACTGCCTGGAACAGTGCTGGCTCCAACCTGCATGGAAATGAGAAGGCATCAAGAGGGGGAACCAGGTAAAAAATTTTTGTTGCCTGGAATATTATTAACAACCAAAGAAAGAGGCCAGCAGTGAGCAGGTAAACATGGGGCTTTCTTCTCAAGTTGCTTCAGAGAAAGGGGGTGGAGAGGACTTGAGTGCTTGGAAGAGGAAACCAGGTGTGGATGTAGCAGGGGGCTAGGAGACCTCCCACTGCACTAGTGCTGTGCAGCCTCTTCACCTCTCTTCTGAGCAGGCAGTGGGTGAGGAGGGATGCTGCTGCTTCAGGGCTGCTGCCTTGCCAGCTGGTGCTTGCTTTTTTTCCTGTCACAATTGCTTTGTTGTATTTCTGCAATTATTAGTAACTCATCTCCTGTACGGAACTGGCAGTGAATCAGAAGGCAGAGACTCCAAAATATCTCGTCCCACGAAAAGAGCAGCTCCTCCTTTGCTTGGCTCAGCGCTGTCAGCTGAGGCAGCGGGGAGGGCTGTGCGGGGGCTGCCAGGAGGGCTGCCAGGCCCGGATCCCCCTGCAGCAGCATGGCTCGAGCCCCTTCTCAGGAGCTGGCGAGCTGTGAGCACTACGTCTGCAGGGCTGTGGGCAGGTGCGATGGCAGCTTGGGTGGGCACAGCGTGCTGGCCTTTCTCCAGCTGGCACAGGTAGACAGCATGACAGAGCGTATCAACTTAAGCTTAACAGTCTTAACACTATTAAATACAGCGCTGAGCTCTCTGGAGGGCTTGTACAACCTGAGGTGACGTCCGTGTCACTGTATCTTTACTGCAGTTTGCTATCTGTGCGAGCTCAATTACATCTCCAGCAGATAGGTGTGTGTTGCACCTCAGTCCTTCATCTGACATGTGTGTAGGGCTGCCTCCAAACAGCTGCTTCTGAGGGCCTGTGGCCACGCCAGCATCAACCGCTGCTGTCAGCAGCCTGTCCCGTGCTGGCTGTGATTTACTGCTGTTAGTCAACACATAGAGGATGGGATTACATCTCCCGTTAGTGGCATTTGCATTGAGTTGCACGCGGGAGCAGGGCCATGGTGGGAGCGCAGCCTGGGAAGAAGACCCTCAGCCTGGCCCCACTGACTGTCTCTCTTTTTCTCCCACAGATGCCAGCAAGGACCATCCACAGCAGCAGGCAGGGGTGATCTGGAGAGTGACGGGCGGCCTGTTCAGCATCACCCGGGGAGCGGTGGGGGCCACGCTGGGAGGAGTCGCCTGGGTGGGCAGCAAGAGTCTGGAGCTCACCAAGACGGCTGTGACCAGTGTCCCTGCTGCCGGCGTTGGACTGGTGAAGGGCAGCGTCTCGGCTGTGACCGGTGGCGTCGGAGCTGTGGGCAGCGCTGTCGCTGGCAAAGTCCCTTTCACCGCAAAGAAGAAGGACAAGGCTGACTAATCCCCATCGCAGCCCCTTTCCGAAAGGTCTACCTGCCCATACTCTCCCACACACAGCCCTCTTTGAGTTGGAACCAGCCACTTCAGGGAGGGTCAAGCACCCGAGCAGACTCCGGCTGCAGCCTGCTCAGCACCTCCTGCTTGGCTCAGGGCTCCCAGAGCCGCTGTCTATGCCTTTCACTCCCATCACCTCCTGGGAACCATCTCTGCTCCGAGGACTTCAAAGCACAGTTGTCTCTGTTGTGTGGTTTCCTTCTTCCCTTCTGCCTCTTGTAAGCACAGAGGGGTGGGAGAGGCTCCATCTGCCTGGAGCCAGGGACAAGGGGACAGGGTGAGTTACGCCTGTCTTGGGGCGTGGGTTGTATAGTTGAATTCAGCTTCATCAGGGAAGACAGCCTTTGAAACAGCACTTCCCTCAGCCCTGAGAAGTGTGCCTGGGGAGTCTGTCTGGGGGAGAATGGTGGAAGAAAGTCCCACTGACACAAAGGAGAGATACTGTGAAGAGGGGGAAACCTCCCTCCTGCCCTGCATCTCTTAGGTTTTCTTTCAGGGCCCACTCACAGGCTGCTCCCAATCACACACTCCCTGGCTGAATTGCACCCTTCAGAGAACGAACCCTCAATCTCAACAGTGCAGCTCCAGTTATGATGCCACACAAGAGTATCATGTGTCCCAGACCATCAACTTCTGTGTGGATTTCCTTGGTGGGAGGCAGGAGGATGAAATCTGCTGTATATTCTCACTGGGGGAGAGAGCTGCCAGTGGTATCTGCTAGGCATCTGTGATGTTACAGCACAGGTAGTGGGTGTGCCGCTGGTGAGAGAGGAGAGGTGCCCTTACTGTAGAGACGCAAACCAGCCCTTGGATTTGACCCTTGAAGTCCTTGCAGTATCCCCATTTGCTAAAGGGGCACTCTGGCTGTAGGCCACACTCACTCCACAGATGTCACTGGTAACCACAAGCAAGCGTGTTCCCAACTGCCGCCCAAATTCTGCTCCAGGGAGGCTGAGAGCCTCGCTCTCCTGTGGCTCAGCACCCCGGGAGCAGTGCCTGGCTGGGAGTGGGGTGCATTGCTTTGGAGAACGTGTCCCTGAGGAGCTCCAGCCCAGCTCCTCTGAACCACCGTATTGCACTAAAAGCCCACCCAAACTCTCAGTGCCGCAGAAACCCAGACACCTGCATCCATCTGGGAGCGTTAGCCATCCTCAATCTGGCCCGTGATGCTCGGGGGTCAGTGACATCGTGCACTCACACACACGCACGTGCACATGCTCACACTCCACGGCCCCTGCGATTCTCGGGATGAGGAAAGCCGCAGGTTCCAACATTAACTCTGCCTTCCCTGGCTTTGGCAGGTTAGTAGCCTAGGTTGTTAGCTGTTGGATGCGTAGGCAAGTGAAGCAGTGTTTGTGCTGTGTTTTATAGATATGCATATGTATTAGCGTGTGTGTACGTAGCAACCCACAGGCATGTTTTCAGCCAGGTGAGAAAAACTGTGCCACTGCCGTGGAGGAGTTCACATCGTCATCTTTGGCACTTCTGGCATGTAGGTTTGTATAGGGTCCTTGTCACAATAATCACAGTTCTGAGGAAGATGTCCTCTCCGTGGCCCAACAGCTTAGTTTACTGAAACCAAAGGAATGTGAACAATCTCCTTTCTCCTGTCTGTGCCGTTTGTTTACTTTCTGCCCTATCTTTGGACGTCGAAGCCGACTTCCTTCGTTTTCATTTCCTGTGCAGGCTCATTGCATTTCCTGGCTGCCTAGGCCTCAAACATCAGGGAATATTTAAGTACAAGTCGTCCCCTCCCAATCCTGACTGAATGTTCTTGGGCTTGTGAAGCCGTTTTGATTCTGACCTTTATTCAGTCCACATTTTGGGCCTGCCACAAGTCACTGTGTCCCTGTGCTCATCATGCTGCTGCTAGGTTCTCCCTGTGCGCCTGGCTGGGCAGCAGACCTGCCGTTTGCAATGAGAAGAGCTTCCTGATCTCCACACTGTTTTACTTTGGGTACCATGAGAGTGGTTTAACCTACATCTTTGTTTCTAAAGAGGAAACGGCGTTCAGTATGAGTGCGCATTTCCTCTCCTTGTGTGCTTTGTTCTTGAGAAGGCCACGTTGACCCAGATGTGTTGGTTCAGTCTCTGACGGCAGCAGCTTCATAGAAAGATCAGGTCTTGTGCACCTGCACTTTGCTGGGATGCTCGTGGCAGTGAGCAAGGCCAGAAGAAACCTTTTCTGTTCTTCCTTTGTAGTGAATGCCCTGCTAAGCAGGAGGGCAGTCTGCACTGCATGGATCTCTGCTCACCGCTCTCTCTCAGTGTGTCTCATTTCTTATTCCAAATCACAGACTGCTTCTGAATCCATCTCTAGCCCCAAAGCTAAAAGCTGCTTGTGCATAACTAGCTGTGCTGTCACCAGCTCTCTTGGAAAGACACAGTTTCTTACCCACTGGGACTCCTCGTCACTACCTCTCCAAGGCTTTAGGCAGGAGAAGATGCTGTGAAAAAGCTTCACATAACTATCCACCTCTGGACAGATGATGGGGAGCTCATCATGCTCTGACAACCAGTATCCCACACAGGCCTGTTCTTCTGGGGGAAGCATTAGATCCTTCTCAAGCTATTGTCTGCAGGCGTGGAAAATATGATAAAGGTGCATTGAGAAAGGCTGTAGGGAACCTAGGGGTTTCCCATCTTTGCTCTTCTGTTCTTTGGTGACTCCCTGCAGTAAATGGAGTGAAGCTCCCCATTTGTCCCCGTTTGATGGATGGCCTGAACAGGGGAGAAGAGAACTGCTGTCCTTTGAGCCCAGCTAATGGAGAGCTCATGCACCGTAAATAGCAAAAAAAAGGAAAACTAGCAGCTGGGGACAGAAGATTAAATCTACTAAAAAACCAGGGCCTCCTGCTGCTTAATGAGTGTTCAGGAATACATAAACACACTGGGCTCAGAGGAAGGCCTGTGGAGGTACGGCTGCTGGTGTGCTAGGCCTGCTCGTTTGATCCGAGTGATCCAGTCCTGAGCTGCTCTTCTGGGCACTCTTTGTGCCAGAGCAGAAAGAAGCAGCATTGGTATCCATCACTGTAAGCACAAAGGCCACCCAGGCCACTTCTCACACAGCCTCTTGAAGAAGAGGCTAAGAGCTACGTTTTGCTTCAGTCCCACTGATACCATCTGGGGGACTTGGTACAAGGGGGACAGTGTGAAGGTGGATAGGTGGGTGAAGGGAGCTCATTCAAGGAAGATTTGGGTCCTGGTGTTAGGAGAGGAGGACAGGAGGAGCAAGAAAGGGAGGAGCACAAAGAGAATTTGATTCTTAGGACAGGCTGTGAATCAGAGGATGAATGTAAGAGAGTTTGCCCTAGGGAAGAGTGTGGAAGAACATGAGTTTTGGGGTGTGGTGTTTTTCTGCTCCTGACTGGGGCCCTGCTTCCACAGCAGTGATGATAATGAGGTTGTTTCCGTTTGGCTGGATCAGTGTGCCCAAAAGAGGGTCCAGGCACCAAGCCAGCCCCTCTTCACTCCCAGAGCTCCCCCAGGCATTTGCCAGGACCCCCCCATTGCAGGGCCGGGCTGCAATTCTACACACAGCTCAGTGCCCCACCACAGCTGGGCGTTCCCCTGCCCCAGAGGCTTACCCTGGCCTGGAGAAGAGCCCATGGGCACTTCCTTTCCTCCCTTTTCCCTTGCTCATCCTATTAGCGTTCACCTTTTTTTTCCTTCGCTTTTCGTCTTGCCCTAGGTGCAGAGCTCTCCAAAGCTCCCCTAGAGACCTCCATTACACATCCACGCTCACATTAGCTGGGAGGGCAGAGAGGGTGACTGCTCCTGTGGCTGCCCTGGCTGGGAGAGGAGTGCATGTCTTCCACCCCTTTCTGTCTGCTTGTGTTCATGTCTGGAAAATCTTAACCCACTTCTTTCCCTCTGGGTTTTCTTGTTGGCTTTTGTTCCTGTGGGTGGGTCATTCCCGTGTCCCCACTGCAAAGTCATCCTGGTGAAAATAGCAGCACGAGCATAAACGTGGAGATGGATGGAGAGAGCCACAGAGCTGCCAGGATGGACGTCGGGCCCATCTCTGCTCCTCCAGGAGCCAAGGAGCCCTTTGCTAACCCGGCACCGTCGCTGCTGCTGCGCGGTCCCATGCATGGCACCAGGCTCCAGAGGACACTTCTGTTCTTTATCATTTCATTGTCTGTAATTGGTTTCCTACTGAATCTGTTTGCTTGGTTTGTTTTGCAGTGTGTTTCTGGGAATATTCTGCATCTCTGTATTTTAATTACAGTAAAATTTGAGGATAAAAATCTTTGTTGCACTGTTTCTTGTTTCCAGTGAGGGAAAACAAGTAGAGGAAGTGCAGCTGAGTGAAGATGTTAGAGATTCCTTGGGAAATCACATCTCTCCCCTAAGGGCTCTAAATGAGGCACCAAGCAGGGCTGAGGCTCAATCCCCTCTTAAACTGGGACAGGACTTTTAACTGTGATTCAAAAGCAATTTTGCTACAAGCAGGTTTCCTGATTGGAATGGCAAGAGCAGTTCTGAGAAGACTTTTAAACTCCATTTCTTCATTTGGTTTAAAGACCAGTGCAGAGAGGTATTTGGTGCCAGGGAAAGGCTAACTGCCCCAAAAGTGGAATCTCAGCAAAGACGGAAGAATTTGCCTCTACAGATGCAATTTCTTGGTGCAGGCTTGCATGGCCACTTATCTTGTCCAAGGAGAGAACCCTCCCTCTCCCTGCAGCAGTCTGTTTTGACAGCCCAGGGGAGTTTTCTTCCCACTGTACAGCTGAGAGGAGCCTCATGGAGCAGTCAGACCCATGTGTTTGCTCACTAGCAGGAAACATGGGTGCTGGATGGGCACAGCCAGTCACCCTGGCCACTTCTCCCACTGCACAGATACTTCCCATAGCAGAGCTGCCCCAAACTCCTGGAAACACACAGCCCTTGAGCAGGGATGATGGCAGCACAATGGAGGAGCCACCAAACTCTAGGAGGGAGGAGGGAGTTGGCAGCCCTGCAGCCTGTGTCCCTTTTACTGGGATAAGGCTGGGAGCCAACAGCTCGGCATTTGTTAAGTGCTGACAAAAGGATTAATTTAGTAGCTAATAATAGGGCAATCAAGCCATTTATTTGGTTGATGCTTCACTGGTGGTGGAAAATGAAGGAGAAAATGCCTGGGGTGGTGAAGCTCTCCCCAGAGCTGCCCCCAGACCAGCCAGAGGCAGTGGATGGAGCAAGCTTTCACTGCAGAGCATGCTGTACCCATTCTGCTCATAGGGCTAAAGTGGGTTATGTCACCACGCAGACAGCATAGGTGGTTGATGAGAGACATCAGATTGACCACCATTGCTCACCATTTCTCCTCCCCTGCCCACTTCAAGCAGGTTTGCCAAATCAAGCCAATTTGCTACGTGCCCCTAACAAGCTGACCTTGTGTAGCAGCTGCACCTGCTCCTCCAGAGGTCTTTAAAGGGGGGAGAAGAGGAAGGACTTTCCCTCCTCGTTCCCCTGGTGGGTCTGGTTCTATAGCCAGTCAGTGGACTGTGCCTGCAGGATTGGATTGTTGGGTGGATGGTGTTCCTGCTGGAAGTTGGTCAGCAGGCAAGGTTTGAACAGACAGGCATCTTGTGTCAGATTCTGAGTGCTCTGCAGCCTTGCAACATCACTGCATTCCCATTTGGCCCCCAGGATACAGCGTGCCTGGAGTGTGAGATTCCTGCCTCTGCTACCAGCTACCAAAGGAGATCTCTGTATTTCCAGGAGAATCTTTTTGGTTGCTTGTTCTTATTCTGCTGTTTAGTGACCTGAACCTGGAGAACTTCTCTCTGTCCTCCAGGGTAGGGCACAATAATACTCATGCCAACAGCATTGGATGTGAAGTGGGGCACAAAGGACCAACAGGAACAATGGGGGACAGGTTGAAGGGGCCATGCTGGGGATGTGGATCTCTGCTGCCAACCACACCAGCAAGCTATTGTGCCTGGAAATAACCACAGGTTCTCGCTTCTGGCTTCACTGCTTGCTACAAGGTTTGGATGCTAACGTGCCCTTGCTGAAGCAGGAGGCTTGCAGCTCTCTGCCATCCTTGTGGGGATGTGCTGGTCTCCAACCCGGCTTGACACCACTGCACTGGGAGCCAGGCGGATCTGCAGACATCAGCCACTGCCTGTGGGCACATCCACCCACTGTACTTACTGAGGTCTTTCACTTGAAGTTCACCTCCAGGTCAGTTTTATTGCACTTTTATTTACAGAAAACACAGAAATAAAGCATTTGTGTTGGGCTTCTACCAAACCACCCAATCACTTTCTTCCCTTTTCTTTTTTTTTTTTTTTTTTCCCTGTTCTGGGATTTTGGCACAAAGAAGTATCACAGGTGTTACCAAACCACCATGTAGGAGCAGCTGACCACCCGCTCAGCTCTGTAACAGAACTCCAACAGACATATTGAACTGAGATCTGAGACAAGGAGGTTGCTCCACATTCAGCTTCCAGTCTGACCTGCTCGCTGTGGGGCAAGGGGGTTATTCTGGAGGGGATGATGCCATTCATAAATTATATTTATATTTACCTCTTACATTGTAAAAGTAAACAGTGCAAAAGTACAGTACCCCAGGTACCCTTCTGTTTGGAAAGCTTGAAGGTTGCTTTATACATTTTGTGTGTTTTGTAAACATTGTTACCCATCCACAGTTCTAGCTCTTGCTTGGAGAGACCCAATTCCTCGTGCGCCCAAAACGTGTTGAGAGGCAAGAATCACTTCTTCTGAACTCCATTGAGATTCCCATTCAAGATTTAGTGCAAATTTTGGAGAGAAGACGACGAGAAAGAGGGTCGGGGGGGAACCAAACAAAAGAAAACAAAATAAGGCAACAGTTCGAAATGGTCTGTATCAAAAACGGGGCCCAGCCTTAGGAGAAGGGCAGGAAGTCTCTTTCCTCCACCAGGCTGATGGAGAGGTTCTTCAGCTCCTCCTCAGAGCGGGCGGCCCGGTAGCCGAGCTGTGCCAGCACCTGCTGGCAGGCGCGCTGGGTGAACGCCACGATCTCGTAGGACAGACGGAAGCGCCACTTCTCCGCCGTCGCCGCCGAGTTGCGCACTGTCCCGTACTTGTGCTTGGATGAGGAGCGGTCCCCTCGCGTGTTGTTCTGTATCCAGCGCTCGACGTTGCCATCCATGGGGATGCCCAGGAAATCGTAGATCTCCTCGGTCTTTTTCATGGGGTTCCGGGCCAGGTCTTCGTATCGCACCAGCATGTACTTGCCCTTGAGCCATGGCGGCCGGTTGAGGCCGGTGGAAACGGAGTTCCAGAAGTCCTCGCACACCGTGGTGAGCTGGGTGACGTCCAGGTTGTAGGGCTTCCTGCCGGTGCCATCCCAGATCCTCCAGAGCCGGTAGGTGTCCCGGAAGGTCTCGCTGCGGGACGCCAGGATGCCCCGCGGGTCCCTCACCAGCTGGATCACCTTCAGGTTCAGCCGCGGGTCCTCCACCAGCGCCCTCAGGTCACTCACCTCGGGCACACGCACGGTTTTGATGGCCACGTGCCCGTGCTCCCTGCAGGACTCGGTGGCCAGCGTCAGGTTCAGGGTGCCGCACTTCTTCACGCAGTCCCCTTCTTCCAGGTGGAGATCGACGGCGCCCAGGGCCTCGCAGACTGGTGGCGAGCACAAGGCTTTGCTGGCTCCCCTGCGGAAGAGGCGGTCGGTGGTGTGATTGATGGGCTGGGGCTTGATGTAGTTCTCCAGGAAGTAGAGGTCGCAGTCATACAGGCTGCGCAGCAGGTCACGGCTGGCCCCCAGCATCACCCGCCGGTCTGTCGTGCTCTTGCTCTGTGTCAGCTTCGGGATCAGCGTGTACTGCACGTGGTAGAGGGGCTCGAATAAATAGAAGACATCAAAATGCTGGTTGAAGAGCTGTCCCACGAACGAGGAGCCGCTGCGGGTGGTGGCGAGGATGAGGACGTGCGTCTTCCTGGTGGAGAGGTTGTAGGCGAAAGTGGGGCTCTCATCACACAGCCGTTCGGCCGCGTCAGCATCCTGGCTCAGGCTGCAGTTGACGGGGATGGGGCAGCTGTGGAAGGATTTGGCGGTGAAGGTGCGGATTGCCGTGTACTGGATCGCAATGGATGCCAAGGCTAGTAGGAGGACAGCCTTCCAGGAACATTGCATGGCTGGTCACCTTCATGGGGCTTCTTCACAGGTTGTCTTGGTGTCTGCAACCCAACAGAGAAGGCATGGGGTGAGCAAGGACCAGAAAGAAGGACTAGAGTGTTCCTGCTACCAGCAAATGCCCTCCCACAGTGCACGCGCATCAGGTCTAACCACATGGATCCCAGCCACACACTGCAGAGCCTGCTTCAGAGGAGAGGACAGCAGCAAGAGGCTGGCACAACTCCAGAGATGATTCCAGCCAGGACTTCCAGGGACATGGAATGTTCTTCAGAAAAAGTGTAGGCTTGGAAGCTCCACGAGGTTCTCCAAACCCTTTTGGAGTCACCAAGCCAACACTTTTTCCAAGGCTTCTATATTTTTCCAGGTCTGCCTATTCGGGAGAAGTCCGGGATGTGCCATCTTCTGAGTGGAAGCTGCCAAGCGGGACCTCTTTCCTGCTCTCTAGTGCTGGCCAGCTACACTGCACCCTTCACACAGAGCCCCAGCTCCCGTACTGCGGGAGGACGGCTCACACACGGTCGCCCGCCCTCCCAGTCTCTGCTCCTATTCCCCGATGGGAGATGCGGGACTTCGGGACGGTGCGGTGCCGGGCGCACCCCGATCCCGCAGCCGGCACCCTCTACCCCCCGATCCCATCATCGCTTGTTTCCATAGAAACCGCGCAGTGACTCAGGACTTTGGGACCAGCTGAAAACCGCAACCCAGAGCGGCAGCCGCCCGGGGGGGCGAGGAGGGCGGGGAGCGGGGCGCGGTCGCCCGTGCGCCCGGACGCGCTCCCAGCGGCGCACGGGGACGCGGGACGAGAAGCTCTCCCGACACCGGCGCTGCCGCAGCACCCGGCGGGCAGCGTTGCGGCGGGCACCGCAGGGAGCGGATCCTTGTCGCGCTCCGGCCACGGGAATCGCAGGGCTCACGGCACCGCAGCTACGACGAGCGGCGCTCCGGACGCTGCGCTCCTTCCCCGGGCAGCCCCTCGAACGCGGCTGCGGCTGCTGCGGCCGCGCTCCCTCCGTCCGGGCGCGAAGAGCCGCAGCGCTGCAGAACAACTCTCGGCCGGGCACCCGCCGCCGGTCCCGGTGTCCCCCGACTTCTCCCCGCGACGTGACACGTTGCGGACGGGCTG